GAGTCACAGCATATGGCAGGTCCTGCTGGAAGCCAAAGTGAGAGGCCCAAAATCATGAGGTATACTGTGGTCTTGTGCTGGCTCCATCCTCTACCTCCACCAGCTTCTCCTCAACCATCACGTGGTTCCAGAGGCCTGACCCACCATGTGATTTTAAAGCCAGTACCATGAAGCCCTAAATCCAACTGCACTGTCTTCTACTCCAGGATTTAACAGTCACTTAAACCAGTAAATTCCTCACTTTGCTTAAGCTATTTTGTTGAGTTTTCTGTCCCTTGCAACCAAAACAATCTTAACTCAGTTCTACTTGAGCTTCAGGAATGCCCAGAGAGACAAGACCAGCTGAAGGCTTTTTTCCCATATTTAGGGACTGGCAGATCAATGCTGCCATATGCTCCTTTTCTTTCCACCACTTTTCTTTAATATCATGTCTGCCAGGATCTTCATGTGTGAAGTATGGGTTCTTGATAGACAAGATGAACCTCCCCAGACATCCCACCCTTCCTGAGCCCATCCTCGCAGTGGAATAGCCTTGAGTGTGTGTCCCCAGAAGGCTACTTCACCAATGACTTATAAACAGCTAATACAGTACTATTTTTCCATTGCCCTGTGACATTCCAGGGCTCTGGGGGAGGTGCCTTCCTGCTTCCTTGGACATTCACCAGTGGGGTACAGAGGTATGGGAGCACAGAGCCCTCGGCATCTGCTTTTGAGTGAGTCCCAAAGAAATGTCTTACTATAACCCCTTGAGCTGAGGAGTGGTGGAGACTGATCCTACTATAGTTGATCCAGAGTGGGCTCCATCAGGCTCCAAAGCTGCCCTCCTGATAGGTGTCACTGTCCCAGTGAGCTCTGCCATAGTCACAAGGTTGGTGGTCTCTGTGTGGCATCAATCTACTAAAGAGGTTTAGATGTTTTGTGGCCCCCTGGTTACTCCAGACTAAAATGTCTTGTTATTTCCGCTCTCATGAGCAGACACTGAATGTGGATAATCCTAACTCAACATCCGTGTGAGTTTTCTGGCACCATGACACAACACTTGAGGAAATTCACTTATAAGGAGGAAAGGTTTATTTTGGCTCATAATTTCAGAGGTTTCATGTCCATGGTCTTTTGGTCTGTGGTAAGGCAAAAGAGCATCATGGTGGGAACACTGCTTACCTTATGGCAGCCAAGAGGCAAAGAAAAAGACAGAAAGGGGACAGGATCCCATTAGCATTTTAAGAGCATGCCCCCCCATGACTGATGAGAGCCATTGCCAAGTAGGAATGATGCATCAAAATTTCCTTGCCAGCGTACCCCATGTTGCTTAGAGGAAGGACTCGTGGAAATGGACTTGACATTGCATGTATGCTTGAGAAAGGTGACCCTGCTCAAGGACCAGGGTGGATCCAGGTTTAAGGAGGATCCTACTGGATTAGGGCAGATCAGGTTTTAGGGAGTATCCTGCTCCTTGGGTTTAGGGCAGTTCCAGGTTTAACGTGTACCCTGCTAGGAATACAGCACATCCTGCTGCCTCAGGCATGCTAGATTCTTGAGTACCCGTTGAGTTCTCGTGGGATTCAGAAAGTATTTGGGATTCAAAGCCTGGTGGAGTACGTGAATGTGGAGAAGAACATGGATTTCTCCAGAACGTGTTTGTAGAGAGCCGGTGTGAGTTCGGGAATAAAGATTTGCTGTTTGAATCTACAAAGCTGTGAGTGGCTCATGATCTTGTGCCCAGCCAGACTGCGGCACATGACCTAACATACTTCCGTGAGGCCCCACCGCATAAAGATGACACCACCTCCCAGTAGCACCAGAAATTTGGCAACCAAGCCTTTTAAGACATTTATTCAAAACAGAGCAGTACCTGCACCATTCAGAGAACCCCCCCCATCCCAAAGGTGCCACAAATCAGTTTTCAAAATGTATCCTACTCACTAATATCCACTACTACTCACCAAATAGCCAAGACCTGATTTCAGATCATCTGCACTTGACTCTGTCCTGCTACTGAGATGCATGGATAGCACAGCCCTTTGCCCCTGGCCAAATTGTCCCTATAGTGATACATCTCTGGCCCCTACCTACCTTCTTCTCTGGTTTGTTATAAATTGGCTCTTTGTTTCAATTTCTTTATTTCACCAAGGGGGACATGACCACTCTGAATGTTTACCTGGGTAAGTCACAGATCAAGTTGGTTCAGTGGGGCAGCATGTTTGGGGGGCGGGGCACCAAGTCTATAAGGAAATAATGAAAAAAGTCCACAGAGCCATGGAGTGAGTGAAGGGACTCGCAGGGATGTTTCTAAAACATGTAAGAAAGCACCTGGAACAGCATGAACACTCAGATGTCATTGTTAGTCATCATCTGAGAGCAGAAACTGTCAATAAGAGCCTCCAGTGTAGCCCAGTGCAGTGGTGAACACCTGTAATCCCAGCAGCTCCGGAGGCTGAGGCAGGAGGATTGCGGGTCCAAAGCCAGCCTCAGCAACAGTGAGGCACTAAGCAACTAAGTGAGACCCTGTCTCTAAATAAAATACAAAATAGGGCTGGGGATATGGCTCAGTGATGGAGTGCCTCTGAGTTCAATCCCCAGTGCCAAAAAAAAAAAATCTTCCAATCTAGCAGAGGCCCCTCTAGCTGCCTACTCAAAGTGACAGGTCCTGTTTTAATCCCTCCTTTACACTGGGCAGAAATGTTATGCCTGAAGAGAAGATCCTGCTGCTCTGGGAAAAACAGTCAAGGCCACATTGTTCTTCTCTTTCTGACTCAGGATTCACCTGACCACCGCTCATGGGTTCAGCAAAAGACACGGAATACACTGTTCATCAAGACAAAAAGACTAGAAACCTGTGGTCTCCAGGATTTTTTTTTCCAAAAGCTCTTCTTAGAACTAGAAATGCTGGAAACTAATCATTTACAAAGCACTCCCCACACTGCTATATAAACTCAGCAACGCTTTGGCTTTAAACTTTAAGCCATCTTTTTAAAAACAAACAAAAACTTTTTTTTATATCTCTCCTGGCACACATAAAAGACCATCAGACTCTAGCAAAGAAAAAAAATCAGTTGGTTTCCATTAAAGGTGCTGCCAGGTGAAAGTTGGTTTCAAAGGCACTGGAAATACAAACTTTGAGAAAAGAATTTCAATTGGCTCAAACAGCCTTCTTAGAATTTGTGCAGTCATTAGTTACTCTGCTGAAGTAATAAAAGAGGTTTCTATAGGAACAACATGAGGGTGGACGTGGGCTGTGGTCACAAGAATGCTGAGGGTTCACTCAGGCAAAGGCGTGGATACCCAGGGCTTGCTACTTGGCATGAGCTCAAAAATGTTCTTTTAATGAATGAATAAACCCAGCTCCTAATACTCCAGAGTTTTCTGCTCCACAGGGCTCAAACCAGACAGAACCCAGAGGTATATTTCTGCTCCAGACATAAGAAAAAGATGGATGAGTTCATTATTTAGAAGTCACTGAATACTTTTTGGTGGGGAGATGTTGTTAATCAAACAACACCCAGTTTATTTGATTAGAGATTAAGATGGTCCATAAATTCAAAACCTTCTTGAAATTAAAGGGTTCGATAAAACATGACAGAGCTAGTTTAAGGAATAGACTTCATTAAATATTATAAATTCCTGGTACTTGGGTTCCATAACTCTCTAGTAATTAGAGAAATGCAAATCAAAACTAAGATTTCATCTCATGCCATCAGAAGGCAGTTATCAAGAAAACAAACAACAATAAGTACTGGTGAGGATGTGGAGAAAAGGTATACTTATACATTGCTGGTGGGACTGCAAATGGTGCAACCACTTTGTAAAGCAGTATGGAGATTCCTTAGAAAACCTGGAGTAAAACCACCATTTGACCCAGCTATCCCATTCCTGGATCTATATCCAAAGGACTTAAAACAGGATGCTATAGTAATGCAGCCACATCAATGTCTACAGCTGCTCAATTCACAATAGCTAAACTGTGGAACCAACATAGATGCCCTTCAACACATGAATGGATAAAGACACTGTGATATATATACACAATGGAATATTACTCAGAAACAAAAGAGAACAAAATTATGGCATTTGCTGGTAAATGGATGGAGTTGAAGAATATCATGCTAAGCAAAGTAAGCCAATCCCAAAAAACCAAAGGCCAAATGTTCTCTCTGATAAGTGGATGCTGATCCATAAGGGGGTGGGGAGACGTGGGAAAATGGAGGAGCTTTGATGACATGGAAAAAATGGAGGCAAAGGGGAAGAGGGTGGGGGCAGAAAATGGTGGAATTAAATGGACATCATTATCTCTAAGTACATGTATGACTGCACATATGATACAACACTACATCCTGTACAACCAGAGAAATGAAAAGTTGTGCTGCAATTGGGTACAATGAATCAATGCATTCTGCTGTCATATATACCTAATTAAAATAAATAAATAATGTTTTTTTAAAAATGGCAGTCTCAATATAGATCAGATAGTGAGTAAAGAAATGGAAGGAAGGGGTGATTGGGAGTTCACTGCTTTCCCCGGGGGTGGAGAAGATGGGGACAGGAACTAGTCATTAAACATCATCCTAGTTGTAGTTTGCAGACATGAGGGCTTTCTCTGTCTACAAGCACCCAGGACTACCCTGCAGGCAAAGAGACAGGCTGCTTAGGAAGGGAAGAGGGAAGGCCAACAAAGACACGTGCCCAGAGTCCAGCCTTCAGGATGGCTAAGAAAAGAGACAAAAATAACCTCGCGGGTCTCCCTGAGAAAGGCCACCAGGCAATCCTAACAGAGCTTACCTGAACTCTTTCTGGGTTCCACCTTACTGCTCTCTTCCACATGCTTCCTGTTTTCTGTGCATTTCCAGAGCCACAGGGGAACCCATCTCTAGTTTTCTTGGGTGATCAGCCTAAGAAACAAGCACGGCTTCTTTCTCCCCAGAGGGTCAGGTTAAATGGTATGTGAAATGCCTCACACAGTGCCTGACGCATAACAGACACGCAGTAGATATGGGTTCTCCCCATTTTGAGAGTCCGTGATCACATATATTGGATGTATTTCTGGAGGGGGAATTGGATACATTGTAGATTCTTGCAGAAGTTCACAATTTTCTTAACAGGGCCATTGAGGGAGGGAGGCAAGGGAAGGGAAAGAAGCATACTCTTTTTACTGGTGTCGGTAGTTTTTCCTCAACTTGGAGTATCCAGCACCTTCAGGCAGTTAAAGGTTTGGGCCTGATGCTATCAACAACCGCTGAGATGACCGCGCCCGCAGCCTTTGCTCCGTTCATCAGGGCGTGCTCCACCTGCAAAGCACACCAGGCCACAGGGCAGTCAGCACCCATCCTAGCCTGGCACCCTCTGCTGCCTCTGCCCCACCATTCCCCTTCAGGAACCAGCCTGCCTGGAGTCTTTTCCCAGAGAAGGAACCAGCCCATGCTATCATATATTTCCAAAAATTCTAAAGCTGCGAGAGACCAAGAGAGGCCAGGACTGCTGGAGACGGGCACCCAAGGCAGACAGGCTTTCTTTCTCTTGGGAAGCATCCAGGGGTCTTGGTCCTCATCTTCCTGCAGCACAGGGGCTGGCTCCGGGTGGGGCTTAGAGGCCACTGAGCCCTCAAATGGGGAACCTGAGAGCCAGGGAGGGGAATTCACTTGGACAGAATTGCAATATATCCAAGGTTAGCCCTTGGCTGGGACCCCCTGACTCCCGGGCCCAGAGTTCCTCAGAGGGCTTCAATCATGCCCTGCACCCCCAGGGGCTTTTCTTCACATACAAATGCTCATGGGATGGGAGATCCCTCGTATCAGAGCCCACCAAGACCCTGGGCACTGGTGCACACAGAATAAAGCTCAGGCGAGCAGAGGAGGCAGAGTCCAGAAGAGGGCAACCAGAAAGCACAAAGAGGAGCGGGAGCAGGTTGGAGGCCTGGCAGTGCTCACTGGGGGGCATGAGGACAGCAGAGAGACCAACCATAGGATTTGAGCCCAGCCAGTTCAGAGAACAGAAGAAACAGAAGAAGAAAAAATGGAAAAATTATGATCCACCTTTAACCTTGATTTTTGGCATCCAGTTAAAAGGAAACAATACACAGTTCGTCGGTTCATCTCATGAGGTTTTCTCAAGGGTCAGCTACTAACAAAAACCATTCAGATTCTTACGGATACTTGGGCTTTCAAGTCTCCCGCACGTGTACTCTATGTACCACAAGACTGATTAATTCATCAATGCCCTGTACGGCAGGGGGTGGGAGCGTCACACAGCCAAATGCAACAAGAGGCAGGCAGGTAGGTGATGGAGAGGAGCAGGGAACACCCACTCCTACACACCGCTCAGAGCCACAACCAGGTCCTGCAGAGGCTCACTATGCAAGAACACTGGCCCAATGGCCTGATCAATTGGTTGTTCAAGAAAAGCTGGAATCCAGACCTCTCTATGTAAAATGTCTAGATTTTTAAGTGTTGGCAAGTAACTTAAAAAAACATGTGACAACAACAGATCCAAGATGTGACCAGCAGTCTGCAACTTTAACAATTAACATCCGCCTCAAGTCTCAGAAACCAAGCAACTAGACAGAGACCACCACCCTGGCTAAGGGCAGAGCTGGGAACCCACTCGGGTGGTGTTCCCATCAGCACCAGTGCTTTTCCTCCACCTCCATGGGGGAGCAGAGGTGCACATGCTTCCTGAACCACACGGTCCTGTAAAAACAGAAAGCCCAGCTCGCACAAATAGCATGAGGAAGCCAGTGATGGGCCACACTGATCCCCGATGAAAGAGCCCAAGAAAGCTCCACGGGAAGCCACCGTCAGACTAAGTGGGACCACACCTGCTGGCTCCTGTGCACGCCGTATCTGAGGTCGTTGACGAAGTGCTCACAGTTCCCTTCGATCAGGCTGTACTGCACCATCTTGTTGATCATGTTCTTCGTGCGCTGGATGATCTTGTCCACCGGCAGGGGCAGGTAGGTCCCGTCCAGCTTGTTGTTGATCTTCCAGGAACACCCATGCAGCACATCCTGCAGGCGGCTATATTTTACGACTGCGCGGTTGCTGAAGACAGAAGTTATGCTGCCAACCTCAAATTCCTCACCTGGAGACCAAAAGGAAAAGAAAAAAAAAAGTGGGAAAGCTGCTAGGGGTTGTGGCGGGGCGCTGGCTCAGCCCAAGGCTTCAGGAGGGGCTTGGATTAAATGAACCTCCAAGGACCACCTTTCCAGAGAAGCCTTGGGCCTGCGCACTCCACTCCCACAGAAATCTTTTAATATCCTCTCCAGAAGCTCCTTAGGCTGTGGCCCTGGACTGGCCAGCACTGACCTGACCAAGCCTGAGGACTTGAGTCTTGTTTCCTAACCAGAGTTCACTCACCTCTACCCTCTGGATAAGTGTCAGCTCTGGGTAAAGGGTGGTCACATTCACAGTTACATGCCTCCGTCAGGTGAGGACAAGCGGTCACAGCTCTGAGTGTCCACTTCCACCAGTGCCCACCTACATCCCCTGGGACTTCATCTCTACTCAAACATAGGGATTTTTATGAAGGGTTTTTTTGTTTGTTTGTTTGTTTGTTTTTGCAAATGGGCTGAATGTCTTTGAAAAAAGAGAGAAAGATTTGAAAGCTGCTGCCTTATGTTAATCCTCGGAGGAGATAGAGACTCAGAGAGGTTAAAGAACCTACTGAAGCCAGTGCATGGTCATTTAAAACCAGCTAGAAGACAGGATTTTGAGTGATCTTACCAAAAACAAGTGATAAATGTTTGAGGCATTGGATATGCTAATTACCCCAATACGATAACTACACCGTGTGTATCAAGACACCACACTGTACCCCATAAGTATCTATCATTAATGTGGCATATACAAATAAAACTGGGGGGGGATTGTTTTTTCACTGCAACTACTTTGATAGGCAAATCCATGTTCCCCCACCACCACCTCTTTGTAAGGTGTCCAAGAGCATGAACTGTTCCTCGTTCTTCTCCTCAGACAAGGGCAAACTTGATAAGAGCCTGCAGTACACAACTGAACATTCGGGAACAGAGAGGGCAGAATTCATTTCTACAGAAAGATCTGAGGGGGGTGCACAGTGTTAACCATTTCTTTGCTTATGCAAGAGGAGAGGGAGCTCATGGACTGCGTGTGGAAAGGGGAGGTGGAGAGGAGTTTTTACATTCTTCAGTTAGGCTCCAGACAGGAAATGCAGACAGGAAACGGGTGGGGCTGAGAAGAGAAGTGGTGGGAAAGGGGCTCTGCTCAGTGGTAAGGTCCCAGCAAGGTGAGAGACTGGGCCAAAGCAAAAGGACCACACATGAGGATAGGTGTCCACAACAGGCTGTGGCCACAGGCCTGCGGCACGTTATTCTTTGGTAATTTCATTCAGAACAGTCAATGGGATACTAAAGTCAAATGTCCTCAGAGAGTAGTGACCAGTGACTTCTTCCCCCACCTCCAACCCTGCCCCCCAGGCACCATCTCCTGAGGCCACCCTGTGCTATTTCCAGTTTTAATTGTTTCCCCTTCTGTTCCAGTCCCTCTCCACAGTCACCACCTGGTCCCCTGAAATCTCCACTAAACTTCCATTCACCCAAGTTCAACGTGAGGCTGGAGTTCATGCTGCTTTGAGAACAGATGAGCCCTGGGTCGACATTTAGGGTAAAGCAGCAAGAATGAGGATGAAGGTGTCACAGGAGAGCTCGGGAGCAGGAAGCAGCATTTGGAGATAACGGGAAGGAAGTGACATGTAAGCATCCACCACCACCCCCTCAGGGGTATCTGCAGAAATATGAAGAAGGATGCTGAACTGCTGTCAGTACAGAATGGAGGCTTGTGTCCCTAAATTTGTTCTCTGTAAAAGTGCTCTAGAGGTCCGGGGAACTAAGGGGACACTCTGCATTTGTGTCTCTCAGGCTGGACACTCAGTGGCTACTGGAGAACAGAGACCAGGCTCTACTTCACAGTTAATGAAGGTCCAGGAATGCTCCAGGGTGATTTATTGCCAGAGAACGGCAGCAGCTGAGGGACACGGTAATTGACTGTACTTGTATTTATACTGATAACTTCAATGTCAATATTTCAGTCTTGTCTCCTCTCTTACTCGGAGGAGCCAGATGGACCACATAGTCATCTTCTACATAGATGGCCCAGTGCTCATAGCCAATTCGAAAAATCTCAATCAGGTCTCCGGGTCTGGGTCTTGGTTTGACCTGTAATTGGGGAGGAATAAAAAAAGAAGGATAAACTGCACAGACCCAAGGAACTCCCAAGACCCCTTTTGGGGATGAGTGAGCTACAGTTCACATATAGATCCCCTCCCTGGAGTTCATCTCTTAACAGAAAGAAAATGAAACTGCAGGACGCCCCTCTCCTGCCACCATCCGCAGGATCAAGCCGTCGGGGCCGTCTATGCAGGGATCATGCACTGCCTCAGCTCCGAGTGCACAGTCTGTGCCTGTGATGAGTGGCTGGGCTACTTGAAGCACTTCTCCTTTGAAAGAGCATGTTGCACTTTCAGAGGCGAAGGCAGTGCAGGGGCACTGAAAGAGGGGGACCTTCCAGAGTTTGGGACCAGGGAAGGCAGGATGCTTGCTGGTCAGTGCTGTGATTTGAGGACCACAGGTAGAGCTCTGCCTCATCCCAGAACCCTCAGCCCTATCCACCTTGTAGTCTTGACCTGGTCATCACATTTCTGGAGTCCATTTAATAGGGAAACCAGGGTCCAAAGCCCTCCTTCCCCTGCCAGCACCCTGATTTCCTTGCAAGTCCCCTGGATGGGCTGCCTCCTCTGCATGCCCACACCACCAGGGGCTGGACCACTCCAGGCTTGCTTGCACAGACCGCACACCAGCTCCAGCCTGGCAAAATCAGTGAATCTCTTATCAAGGGAGTTGAACCACATCTCCCCGACAAAAGGTCTGAGCCTCTTCCAAGTGTGTCCTTCCTTGAGCACTGTCCCTCGGCCCTAGAGCGTGTCCTTGTTTCTTTAATCATGGTTTCATAATTCTTTAAATTCCTCCTGTTTAAACTACTACGTGGTTTCTGTCTCCTGGTAGACTATCTGTCAAAGAGGCCTGAAGGAGAGAGTGTCCATCTAACAGGCATTGTGTGTGTGCATGTGTGTGCATTTCAGGGAGAGAAGTAGAGAGAGAATGAGGCCATGATGAGCATCCACATTGTTAAAATACTTGTCAAGGAGCTGTGGTTGTGGCTCAGTGGTAGAGCGCTTGCTTAGCATGCGTGAGGCACTGGGTTTGATCCTCAGCACCACATAAAAATAAAAAATAAATAAAATAAAGGTATTGTGTCCATCTACAACTAATTTTTTTTTAAAAAAAGTACTTGTCAATCACTCCATCTGTGTTAGATCCCAGGGCACTAGGAATTTCCCAGAAAAGAAAATGGGAAAATTAAACAATCTTTAATGTACATAGTGAGGTGGGTATGTTGGTGAGTGTGAGAATGCATGTTTGTGTAGCATAAATGTGCCTTCTTGTGTGTATGTGAATGTGTAGGTGAACATAGATGAAGATGCATGAATATCTGGGGGTCCATAAGTGTGAGAGTGGCTAAATGCATTCACATTGCACATAATGTGTAGCAAAGCCTCGGGCTCCCCTGATAATGGATTTCTTGTAATAATCAGAGTTCTTTTATCCTTGTTATTCCAGTAGTTGTGCTCAAAAGTGCTGGCAGCTGGAAGAGGATTGTGGGAGGTTGAGAGGCTGGTGTGGGGGTGAGAGGCTTGTGGAAGCCGGTGGTGGCAGTTGGGCTCTGAGGGTTTTTTCCTGAGGAGCTGTTTTGTTTGGCGTTTGTAGTTCTAAAAATAAAGTTAGTTTCTTTTGACAAGTGGCTCCTGAATTGTGCCCAGCCAGACTGCAGCATTTGGTGGCCCATACGGGGAAAACCCACGACCTTGGCATTATCAGCACCGCAGAGGAGCCAATCAGCTAGATGTCGAGAGCCACAGCCAAAGGGGCCCCAGCAAACTTCCAGCTGTCAGCAAAAAGCATAAAATTTCCCCCGAAATTCTTATTCCCAAGCTCCTCCTACCTCCCAAACTATGGCTATTTTTTCAGGAGTCATCCTGGGAGGAAGCTTCTGCTCACCAAGGCCTGCCTGGGCAGCAGGTCAGAGGTATGAACTACTCCAACCCGCCTATCTGCTTTCCAGTTGCATTGCTCCTTACCCCGGGCTGCAATGAGTTTCTCACTTAGTCTAATTTCCTCAGGGCTGTTTCTCTTCTCCCACTTCCCAGCCTGATTTTTCCTGGCTGAGGACAGTCATTTGCCAGAGGAAGAATTTGCAGAAGTAAAAGTGGCTCTTGTACTTATTTCTTTAAAAGCTTTTCTATCATTTACATTCCATAAGGTGTATGCATTTTAAGTGTACAGTTTGATAGCTTTTATAATTTATAGTTTGTGCAACTGTCACCACAATCCAGTTTCAGAACTGACCACTATACCCCAAAGACACCCCATGCCCATTTGCAGTCCTTCCTAGTTCCTACCCCCCAGACACAACCTATCCCCATAGCTGTCACTTCCCTTTCTCTGTACCATCCCCAACCCCAGCCCCAGGCAACCACTAAGCTACTTTCTGTCCCTGTAGATTTGCCTTCTCTGGACATTTCATATAAATGAGATCAGTCACACAGCAGGTGGCTTTTTGTGTCTGGCTTCTTTCACCCACAGTAATGTGTTGTCCCATCCACATCATGTCAGATACATCAGGGCTCCATTATTTAGAGGCACCACATTCTCCCTCACTGATTTTGTTCTTTGTTTTTGTCAATAGTATTTTAAGTATTCTGGGTTCTTTGCTTTTCCATACAAATTTTAGGATCACTTAGTAGATCTATATTTTTTTTAAATACTTATATTTCAGGAGAGTTTGCATTTAATTTATGCATGGACTTGGTAAGGGATTTTCCAACCCAGACATGGACTGTCCTTGCATTTATTTACATGTTTTTTACTCTTCCTCACCAGTAGTTTATGGTCATATTTTTTGTGTGTTCAATTTATTTTTGAGTATTTTTATGCCATAATGAATAGTTATTTTCTTAATTTCTCTTTCAGATGTTTTATAGCTGAAATATAGAAACCCCATTGATTTTGGGGCATTAATCTTATATCCTGCAATGTACCAAACATATTTATTCATTTTAATTGCTTTGTAAGTGTGTTTTTATACAAACATCGATTAGAAGTGATGAGACTGAACATCCTCACCTTGCTCCTCATCTACTCACTTGCCATTCAATATGTTAGTTGCAGGTTTTCATAGGTTCTGTTTTCCAGGTTAAGAAAGATCTCTTTTTTTTAAAGACGATTTTTAAATTTTTAAGAGAATTTTTATCACGAATGGCAGCTAGATTTAGTCAAATGCTTCTCCTGAGTGTTTTAATCGGATTTTGCATTGCTGTAACCAAAACATCTGACAAGAATGACTTCGAGAAGGATAAGTGTATTTGTGGCACATGGTTTCAGAGGTCTCGGCCCATTAACAGCTGACTCGGGGTCCAAGGTGAGGCAGAACATCCTGGGGGAAGGGCCCAGTGGAGGAAAGCCACTCAGCTCACCTGAGTCAAGAAGCAAGGACCAGTGGGAGTGAGGAGAGAGGCCAAGGGGAAGATGAATGCTTCCAGGGCACCCCCCTCCACAGTGACCCACCTCCTCAGGCCACACCCCACCTGTCTACAGTTACCACCCAGCCAGTCCATTCAAACTAGGATGAACTAATTAGATTGCAGCTCTCATAATCTAACCATTCCACTTCTGAATAGTCCTGCATTAAACAGGTGATTTGGGGGGAACACCTCATATCCAAACAATAACACCGGGGATATTGAGAGGATCCTGTGATTGTGGTCCTTTGCCCCATTAATGGTGTTTTACATTAATAGATTTTGGAATGTCACACCAAACTTGCATTCCTGGGATAAATCTCACATTGTCATTGTGCACAACCTTTTCATGCGTTGCTGAATTCAGTTTGCTACAATTTTTCTGAGGATGTTTGCATCTATATTCTTAAGAGATAATAGTGTCCAGGTTTCTTTTCTCTGTATATCTTTGTCCTTCTTTGGTATCAGGATAATTACTGTCTTCATAGAATGAGTAGGAAAACATTTACTTTGTCTGTTTTCATAGAAGTTTCTGAAGGATTGGTAACTTTTCCTCTTTATACATATGGAAGAATTCTCCAGTGAAGTCATCTGAGCTAAGCCTATTGTTCTACCCTCTGTGCTAGAGATTGAACCTAGGGCCTCAGGCAGACTAGGCAAGCACTCTACCAAGTGCTACATCCCCAGCCCGGTAAAATTCCTTTCTAATGTTTTTAAGACTGGTGGTGAGTCCCTTCTTTCATTCCTGATTTTGTTAATTTGAGTTCCCTCTCTCCACCCACCCTCTCACCCTCTCTCCCTCTCTCTCTCTCTCCGTGTATATAAAAGTTTGTCAATTTTATCTTTTTGAAGAACCTGGTTTTGGCTCTATTGATCTTTCTCTATTCCTTGTTTTATATTTCATTGATTTTTGCTTCAATAATTATTTTCTTCTTTGTGGTTGCTTTGGGTTTAGTTTACTTTGTTTCTTTGCTAGTTTCTGAAGGAAGGAGATTAGATTGCTGATTTGTGGTCTTCTTTTCTAATGAGGGTTTACAGCTATAAATATTCTTCTAAACACTGTTTTAGCTGCATTTCATAAAACTTCAAATGCTTTGTTTGCATTTTCATTCAGCTCAAAGTATTTTCTAATGTCTCTGCTTCTTTTCTGACACAAGTTATTTAGAACTGTTTTAATTTCCAAATACTCTGATTTCCCAAACGGTTATGATGTTATTTCATGTGATCAAATAAAATATTTCATATTATTTCAATCTCTTTAAACTTATAGATATTTGCTTTAGGTCTTAAAATAGGGTCTACCCTGAAAAACATTCATGTACACTTGAGATGAAGATATATTCTGCTGTTGTCAACAAGTGTCAGGACAAGTTGGACTGTGGTTCAAATTTTCTACAGTCTCATAGATTTCTTGTTTAGTTGTTCTGTCCATTTTCAGGAGTAAAATATTGAAGTTTCCAAACTATTATTTCTGAATTGCCTATTTCTCCTTTCAATTCTATCACGTTTTGCTTCATACATTATAGGGTTATTTGCTGGGTGAGCATGTGTTTTCATAATTGTTATATTTTTCCAATGAAT